TCGCTCGGATCGGCGCTTTTCCCTTGGTTATAAACTGCACGTACCAATTGGAATAACTAGCTTTTAGCAACAATTTAGGGACATTGAATGTGGTTTTAAGTACCTTTACGTACGAACTCAAGCCCACTTCCCTCTGCCTTGCCGAAAATCTTCTGCAGCTTTGGGTTACGGGAATAGTTTGTAGCCGGGTTCTCCTTCATAGCGGAGAAGGTACAGTTCGCCACCACTTCGTCTATGCGCTGGTCTGACAGAGTCTTGCCAAGGAAGTTTGCGATCTTCACCACGTGGCCTCGCAGGTCCTACGTACATTGTGTACATGTACAACGTCAAAAATGAAAGATGAAAAACATGACATTGACTAATCTGAAATCCCAATTCTATATTTGTCATAGCATAACCATGACCTTACTAGTGGTGATTGAGATCCCATAAATCACGTGATGCTTTAATCACATGCAACGCATGCAACCTATCAGCGTCGACCCATAAATAAATAAAAATTATCGCCAGTGACCCTAAATGGAACATGCGTTCTGTTCGGTGGAATGTGATCTGGGTTTGAAAATGGATTTTGTCTGACGCGAAAAGAAAAACAGTTACTTATTTAATAAGCAGCTGGATATGACTTTGGAAAGGGGCAGATTTTTCCAAAATCTACGACATTTATATTAAAGTTTGCGCGTCATATTTGCCGAGAGATCACGTCATAAATTATATTCAGCTCAAAGCCTACCCGCTTAAGATCTTCAAACTTGATGAAGAGCAGGTTGCCGTCATCCTTGTGTCGCCAGTACTCCGGAACTACGTCCCACCAGAAACCGTAAAATGCTGTTGATACAGGCAACATAAACAAAACAAGACCTTGATTATGTAAATTAACTTATAATTCACAAATTAGATATCCAGTCAGTCTTGACTTAAGCTACCTCAATGTTGAAAATCATAAGAATTCAATTCACCCCTCTCACATAACATATCTATTTTATATATTTACAGTATATATTATATATATATATATGACAAAATATTTTAGATAAATGCAATCAAAAAGTGATATTTATCATCGTCTGTTAGTGCCTGAGATTTTGAGACATGCAGCTGGATACTGACCTAGTTCCGGAGTAATAAAGTCCTGGAAGTTTTCCTCCCAGGTTCCGCAGGGCATATGCTGCATCATCCTTCTCATGTTGTGCCACGAAACGACCACATCTTTGACGTTCCGAGCGCAGTAGATGATCTAGTAAAACAAAGAAAGAAATGTAGACATTTGCCACCCAATCTTACATTCCCAAAAAATGCATAACGTTAATGTTTACTTTCAAATGGTTTAAGCCAATAAACTACACTGCTCTGTTTATTTTTACTCATCAATATTTATATATAATTTATAGAAACCACCCCTCCAGCTCTGCCCTGCTATATAATGTAACCCAAAACCACAGGGTGTCTGCTACAGCACCAGTAACTATAGTGACAGACGTCTGGTCCAGGTCATTGACCTTACATATTTGGAGAAATGCTAGCAAAATTTTCTATACGCAACCTGCCAACCAGTTGTTTTACAAGAGTCGACATGTCATGTTAAAAAAGAGGTTTTAAATAAGAACATTGCTGTTTTTTTTTTCTATCATTTACTAACCTTGTTGTTGAATAAAAGTTGTGTCATTCTCAGATTCAATTTCAAAAGTGACTGGACAGATGCCCACACTCCCCTGACATGTTATGTCTACTTGGGTGATTACTCTTTCCAGCAGCTTTCGATGCCTGGTAGAGGCTATTTATTCACGGCAACAGTGTAAAAAGTGTAAAACAGCTGCACCTTTCCTTTCCCGTCCCTGACTTGCTGGGGTAACAGGTGATAGGGCAGGTGCGTACTCATGAGTCGCGGGGAGGGGGCGCTCTTCAGTAGTATCGGCCGAGGCACTCCTTCACCGACACCCAACCTTCCTCCTGACGCTTGCAGACTCTCGAGCCAGGGCGTGCGCACTTGCAGAAGGACTTTACTAGCTTCACTGATGTCACCCTCAGCACACACCAGAGAAACGATCTGTTGTGTCCATGTTGTTCCTGAAAAAGAGGAGTAAGATGATAGTGAGGATTTTGAGTGCTTGATGTAATAGCGTTAGTAACAGCTGTCCTTGATGTTTTTCCTTGAAGTTTTTCCATGATGGCACATGTAACTTTATATAGTACCAGGGTTTTAAATTATTTTAATAGAAATAATACGTTGTAAATCAACCACACTCAGATGTCTTGTTATTGTAATATTTTATTTTAATCGACATTTTAATACTTTGTAATATTTTATGATATTCGTCATATTGAGTTGTCCTTTGTAAGTGAAACGTGTAAGTAAAACGTGTTTCGGCATGATGGCTGCAATGTTTTACCTTAGAAACCAGTCATTCATTCATTCATTCATTCGTTCATTCATTCATCTCTACAATTTCATACTATGGTTTGATCTCCAGATCTTACGAATGTATAACTGTCTATATGATGATACCAAATGTTTATGTTTCATTTTAGCGGGTGTGTTACGCCGAAAGGCGGTTATACAGGCTATACAGATACGGATACATTTTAGAACAAGTTTTGAGTAAGATTGTATTGTATTGTATTGAATCAGCAATTCAGACGGCGCGGTGGTAGCTGGCTATATTAGCCTCTTCTGGCTAGCGGCTGGAAACGGCTGGAAAGAATTGAAATAGGCACACTTGACAGATGATTACACCGGGCTAAGAGAAAAGTTTGGGAGCGGCAAACTGTTCTCTCATAGCGCGGGTTAACTCCCAGCATATCATCTGTCTAGTTGGCCAAGTTCTACTCTTTCCAGAATTCCAACAGTTCCCCAAATAATGGCAGAGTCTAGGCTACATTATCATCATCATCATCATCATACAGGCTTACATAGCTTGTAGTCTGCCTAAGGTAGAAGATGGAAAAGATGAAAGAACATTAAAAGAACAAAAGACAAAATCTTCTCACCTGATTTGATGTAAGAGGAGATGAAAACGTCGTCGTCTCTTACTTCAAATGAGTCCACCAGTTCCAAGGCCTTTAGGTTGACCGCATTGTCGAACCGCACTCCCTTGAAGTAAAAGGACGAAGGACGATCTTGACTCATTGTGTTGTCGCGTTCACTGTTGCACTGCGTGGAAGAAGAGATGTGGACCCAGAGAAAAGAACTCTGCAACAGACTTACAAATGTGCCAGGTTACAAATGTGGCATACTATGCGGCAGAGACTGTCGCACTAAAGCTTTGGTCACAACCCGCCGTACATGCTTTTGGTCTGTACGTTTTTTTGGGAGGCCACGTCTGCTATTTTTTTTTCTGAAAACGTGGGGAAGGAGTGGCGTCACTCGCACGGTTGCGCAAGGTGTAAGAGTATGGTCTGCACGCACGCCAAGTCTGGCCGTGAGCGGTTGCGTGCATCGTACGTTGTGCAAGTGGTAAGTGAATTGTACGTGCTTACAACGTACGATCTCTGTGCCATTGCAACTTTACCGTAAGGAGCTCGAAGCCGTACTCACACGTGCTTCTTCCGCACGGCACGTACGGTGCACGCGCGTCGGACGCACTCGCACGTACGGGTGGTGAATCCGCAGACCGCACGTAGAAAAAGTTTTACATGCACTCAAAGTTCTACGGCGTGTCTGCGTGCTCCCAAATCCGTAGGATTCCGTACGGAGGCTGTACTTACCACGCACGGATGCCCTGCGTTTGCCCACGTTTTTGCACGTAGACAGCACGCAGAAGCACGTACGGCGGGTTGTGACCGAGGCTTATCCCATACACCGCTGCCACCTATGTGGAGTCCATTTACATAACCCTATCTAGACCGGGCTTTTTTGGCTTCGTGTGACGGGGGGGGGGGCTCATTCTTGCGAACGGTATATCGTATGACCAACAAATTTTTAGAGGATGGTGTGCTAGTAAAAATGAATGACGTTAACGTAATATGACGTCAAAATAACGTCATTAATCTGATTTTATTGGCCAAAACGGTCTAAGTAGGTTATGCCCTAAAACAGCAATGGTATACAGCATAACTTTAACAAAACGTGTTCATGATAGAGTTTTCAACTGGGGTGTGCCTGGGAGTTGCATGTGGAGAGACAGACAATACGCAAGCACCCCCTAAGCTCCAAACAGATCATACGGTGGCAAGGCAGTATTACGTATTCATTGGCATAGGAGTGTACATTAGCCATCGAATCGTCGGTAGCAAATGGACTCCCCTCTATATCTGCCCAATGGATACTGCCTTGTCACCGTATGATCTGCTTGGAGATTGCCCCCCTCCCCCACCTACGTAGTAACTACAATTATCAAAGAGGGTGAAAGACCTTCCCGGTATGAGTAGTCACCTGTTTTGTCAATACTTCAACAGATGTGGTATAGAGCATATATAGTGATGAATAAATGAATAGCTCAAATACATAGAATTATTTAATTGGACGATCCCTTATGCTAACCAGGATTGGGACCTATCTACAAACATACGGAGCCGTGAGGTACTAAATACTTACCTTGTCGACTCAGTTCAGATTCTTCCACAGATTCTGGCTCGCGGATGTTTACAATATAATATGATTCCTTTCACTGATACAGAAAATTTAAGGTACAGACGCTAAGCACAAGTACGTGGCACGGTCATTCCGTACACTATTTGTTCAGGCCCTTGATGCAGACTGGGGCACCTAGTGCACAAGTAAACTTTGCCCTCTGCACTTTTTTGGACCCCAGTGGTCATGATCAGCCGGGCCAGTGAACCGGTACCTTCAGCAAACAGTTTTGTACTTGAATAGGCTGTGCAAGACTTGAGTCATAGGTTTGATAGGGTCATTGGTGTGGTAGGATCTTTAAAGCCTCGGTCACAACTCGCCGTGCGTGCTTTTTGTCCGTACGTTTTTGTCGTGGCTACGTCTGCTACGTTTTTTTCTGCAAACGTAGGGTGGCCGGCCGAGGGAGAACGTCACTCGCACGGTTGCGCAAGGTGTACGTACGTGGTCTGCACGACACGCCTGGCCGTCAGCGGTTGCGTGCATCGTACGTTGCGCAAGTGGTAAGTGAGTTGTACGTGCTTACAACGCACGATCTCTGTGCGATTGCTACGTTGCCGCGTACAGGCCGTACCTACACGTGCGGCGTACGCACGGTTTCCTTACTCACTCGCACGTTGTAAGTGCGTGCACCTCCTGTTAACTTCATCATCACTAGCCGCCCTGGTGTCTTCCGCGGCCCGTTTCTTTGGGTCTTGTCTGGTAGTCTTCTTCTGAGCCTTCCTGGGCATCTTGGAGACGAGTTGGCAGTCGCCGGTGCAAATTTCCGTCTCGTAAACGGTCGTCGCCTTTCCGAACGGTCGTCGCCTTTTTTCAGAACGGTCGTCGCCTTTCGGAGCGGTCGTCGCCATTTCCGATCGACCGAACTTCAGTTCCGAATATCCGCGACATGTTCGGGACTTCCCCGAGTTCTTTGAATGTGTGAAATCACACTTCCTGAAGATAACATCGCGACCGAAGACGGGCCAGAACTTGGCTAGGTGGATTGAAGTTGCGTGGGTGCTAGTACATGTATTATAATTATAAGTCGCCGGTCAAGTCGTCTTTATATACTGTAGAAATCAGGTGCGTTGCACGTGCGTTAACGCGTTGCACGTGCGGAGCACCTGGTATGGTGCACGTGTGTTCTGCGTGGTCATTGAGCAGGTCAACTGGGAAGTGAGGAGTAAGCACGGATGACGCAAGCACCGTGCGTGGCACGCACATGCTTCGTGCGCTGTCCGTACAGCAATTGCACGTGAGAATAGTGAAGTTAGACTCACGGAGTCCGTACGTTGCACGCTCATAGGCTGTACGGGGCACGCGCGTCGCACGTACTCGCACGCACGGGTGGTAAATCCGCAGACCGCACGTAGAAAAAGTATTACATGCACTTAAAGTTCTACGGCGTGTCTGCGTGCTCCCAAATCCGTAGGATTCCGTACGGAGGTGGTACTCACCACGCACGGATGCCGTGCGATTGCCCACGTTTTTGCACGTAGACAACACGCAGAAGCACGTACGGCGAGTTGTGACCGTCGCTTAACCCTAACGGGGGGGGGGGGCTCATCATGATAAACACTTAAATACATACACATGTATATGGACAGACAGTGCGTGTTTTTTGCCAGTTTATGATAATCTCCAAGCAGATCCCTCTCGGTGGCAAAAAGACAGTATCAATCCCCACCACCGATCAGGACATGGGGATCAGGACAAAAAACAGGTGGGGATCAGGACAAAAAAAAAACGGCCATATATAAAAAGGTAACGATCATTCCCCCACAACCTCTGCTTGGAGAGTAAGTTCATGACTCGCGTGAGCAACATTAGACTGTACTTTATATGCTAATGAAAGATCTGTCCTTTTTAATCATATCAAAGAGAAGTTCCCATACGTCGAACACCTAAGTGCTGCTAATTATAGATTTATATTTCTGATGCGTCTAGACAAACCCTGTATCACAACCATGAACTGTTCCCACATTTTCCATTGTACAAAAAAGCGAGAAGAAGTTGAACACTCTATATTAGATCAGTTACTAGAACACTTTGTATTAGCTTAATATAGTATCCTTGTATGTTCCTTATGTATGTTTTCTACACACGTTTGTAATGTGTCTGTTAAGTATTGACCTGTACCTAGCCCGTCGTGGCATGAATGTACAATAAAGGTATTTCAATTTCAATTTCAATTTAACGAGAAATCCACGGCTACAAATCAATGGGAGGCCGCGGTACAAGAGTCGGGTATCAGCATGACACACCAGCTTCACAAGCGCTCGGTGTGTGAGTGTGTGTGTGTGTGTGTGTGTGCGTGCGTGTGTGTGTGTGCGTGTGCGTGTGTGTGTGTGTGTGTGTGTGTGCGTGCGTGCGTGCGTGTGTGTGTCTGTGCGTGTGCGTGTCCGTATGCGTGTCCGTGCGTGTGTGTGTGTGTGTG